TATGAAAAAGTTAAATAATATGCTTCACAGTTAAATTTAAATTGCTCCACATTGCCCCACCTAGGATTGGTGGGGCACGTCGGCCACATGATATAAGTCAACTTACCTTGAATCTCAGGTTCATCCTTGGTAGATGGTGTTTTTTTGGATGTTTAGCTATAGTAGAATTTATTAGAGGTCGAGTGAAGGCAATTTGAATCTGTAGTTAAAAAATATGGTTAAAGAATGTCGAAGTTAGTTTTTGGGAAGCATTTTAATGTTCAAATCAGTGAAAGTGTCTAAAGTTTTGGTGAGGATAGTATTTGGGAAGCATTTTAATGTTCAAATCAATGAAAGTGTTTAAAGGTTTGGTGAGGAAGAAAGTAAGTAAAGAATATCTAGGACGCTTAAAAAAGAGGAATGCTTAAGTCTTGCGTACTTAGGATCTTTCTTTTTAACCTTATATATGATAAGAAAGAGGAGCCACGTGGGTGAGTGCTAATTGCATTTAATAACCCTAAACAAGTATGAGTCATATTTAATGATTTTAAGTAAATTGAAAGTTAAATGTATAATTTTAAACTGATACCTTGATAGGACGTTAATGGAGACATCAGACGAACCTTCTTTTGATGAGAGGCAAGCCAATTCTATGGCAAGAGATTTGGATGTTGACATTTACTAGTGATAACGTGACAATCGGACATGTATTCATTGAGTAAATAGGTATCTTAGATCATGTAAAGTAGCCAAATTAAAGTCTAAATCTGTTTCAGCATGGACAAGAATTTTTATTTCAAAATCAATAATGAGTTAAATAATTAAGAAACTTCATGATGATTGAACTTCGAAGTGTTGAGAAATGGTAATTTTTGGTCTTTATAGAAAAGAGCAATTTGTCAAACCGACCTGGTCCAGCCTCTGTGCAATAATGTTTGAACACTAATGAAGAAAATTTCAAAATATTCGGCATACCAGACCAAGACAGCTCACTGAAGTTAACGAAAGAGGACCCAGATTAGACAAATGTCGCCCCTGTTAGCCAGCTTGTTTCTACACTCTAACTCTACGCTTGAACTTGTCTTGACGAAGGGCTAGTTTGGAATTTGTGGCACTCTGATTGAAAAAAATAAAGAAAAAGGTTCTTTTAAACTATTGGTTTTGTAAGCAAGATTGATCAAAGTCGCAACCCATCCAATATTATTGCTTGAATTTGCAAAGACGAGAAATGATCGTATCATTCGTGTGAGACAAAACCGCATGTTATTATATTTCATGGCTCTCAGTGTATCAAGCACAAGCAGTACCATAATGGTATAAAATTGTATGCCTTATGCCAAAGCAAAGGAAGATTACGATAAGGCTAGACCAAATACATAAAGCAAAGATAATGACAACATTTCCTGCTGGAACAATTTCTCTCTTTTGTATTATTCAATCAATAATTTAGCGCAGTTGAAGGAAAACACACGTCTCATCGTTCGAAACAAGCCAAACCCTCTCTTCCTTCATGTAGCAAATATAGACAACTTCGGTCAAAATGGCGGTGGCCACGCTTTGCAAAAGCCCGATATGTGCTTTCCTGTGCACATTGGCTGATTCACATCTAAACTAGCTATTTTCATCTATTTATGCTTAAAACTTTCATGTGTAAACTCACTTGCTATAGCTCTTATCTAGGTGAAATATATTCAACAAAATGCTGTAAATTTTCTATTACAAAATGTGAGAAAAAAACCAATCATGAGTCATCCAATTAATAATGCAATGTTGTTTTGAAATCATGAAATGGTACATTTTTTACGTGTGAAATAATGAAATTTAAAACTTAATTCAATTGATTTATATAATTATTTTAAAAAAATAATATTCAATAAATTTGATGTTCAAATCCTATTTTTAAATTACGATCTTTATTATAAATAAAAGAACTTTGAAATAAGTGACAATAAAAAAAATTAAAATAAGATGAAATATATTATAAATAAGTACATATATCAAGGTCAAAGTCTCCATATCCTATTATTATTGTGGTATTATCTTATATTTAATAAATATATAATTTTTTATAATATTATATTTAAGTTAAGTCTATTTATTTACTGTCAATTAATTTACAGTTAAATATTTAACATGATATCATAATAAGATTTTCTTAGGTTGATTTTTTTAAATTTGTCACGTAATAAGTTTTTTCATCTCTCTTACATTTGATAGATGAAGATCTATTCGTGTGATGTTATCTTACATCTAATAAATATCTAAATTTTTATAATTTTATATTTAAATTGAATTCTTCTACTTACTGTAAATTAATTTTAAATTAAATACTAAACACTTCTTATCATTTTCCAAAAAATTAAAAGAGTGTAGTTTTTTAACTTTACATAAAATCAACATCAATGATTTGATGATCAAACAAATTTCACGCTTAAGTGGATACTCTTAAGTGATTCCACTATACCTTTCTATTTTCCATGTATATATGTCAGGGTTTTGATATGGCTTGTAAAAAAAGATAAAAACTTTCCTACTTCGTTTTTTTTTTTTGTTAAATGGCTAGGATATTTGCATTTCCATGATCGTTTAAATATGATGAAGCTATACTTGGCCTTAGAAGCTGAAGGTAACACCAAAAATTATTAATGAGTATATTGTTTCATCATGGACATATATACATCTAGTCTTTTTTTTTTTACAGTTAGGCTTTGTTTAAATAAGATGGATTAATAAAAAAAAAATGAAAATTTTGAAGAAAAAAATAGGATGGAAAGTATATTTTTTCTTATGAACATTCTTTCTATTCGTTACTTGATAAATTAAAAAACAAAATTAAACTATTATTTTTTCATTATATCATTTATAAATTAAAGTAAAAATATAAAATCTAAATACATAACTATGATACCCTATTGAAGTAAAATCACGAGATTTTGGAAAATTTTTTAATTTCTCTCTTTCGGGCCGACGACTGAATGGGAAAGCGATACGTGTTGGTCAAAAACCATGAAGTTGACGTGTCGGGCTGAGGAGACTGGACCACGGCCTTAGTCGGCGTCGCCGTGCTGTGTAAGTGCGACCAAGTCTATGTACTGCCAAAACTCAACTTTTTCAAGCCTCCTTCATCATTTGCCCTCCCATTTCTCACTATATTACATTCAGCTTTCTTTAGCTACAGCTTTTACCGACATTTTACATGCACCTAAAAATTTTGATTTTAAAATTACTTTAATACCATTTTTTAGAAAATTGATGATAATTTAATTAGTAATGAGAATAAGTTTCAAATATTTTATATTAGCTTGCAAGATTCTAATATAAGTTTTCAGTTTCTAAATTCTTATTATAAATTAATTTTAAATTAAATATTTAACAAAATATCAGAATCAATATTTTTTTTATTATTTTTTTTAAATTTATCACACGATAATTTTTTTTATTTTCTCTTACATATAATGAGAGCATTTTAAAATGAAATTATGTCACATCTAATAATTTTTTATAATTATATATTCAAATTAAATCTTTTCACCTACTATTAATTAATTTTAAGTTAAATGTTTGACAAATAATTTAAAAGATTTGCTTCCACAAATTTGTGCAAATGCATGATCTATTGGGGGTGATAAAGAATTACCCATAACATATAGTTCTTTGGAACAGGTTAAGACGTGTTAGAACTAGAAGTGGGGTGGAGAAACAGTGTTTGCCAGAAAATAGTATGAAGAACTGTAGACTGTTTGACATTCAACTCCTTTGCATCTTGAAATATGTTTATTACTATGTATGTTAATGCTCCACAAACTCAGCCACCCGTTTACCTGGATGTTTCCTTCCCCTCAAGTATGCCTAACTTTTATGTTAAAAGCCTTATATATTTTTTGATGCATAAAATTCAAGAACTTATTGTATAAATTATCTAAATTTTTAAATCAGAACATAGATACGTAATTTAATTAAAATTTATATTTTAAATCGTATCAACAAAAAATTAGATATATACAAATTTAAAAATTTTTTATCATTGAAGTTTAATGAATTAATCGATTAAATCAATTTTTCGATAGTTAAAACTTTTAAAAGTTTGATATTTGATACTATGAATCAATTTTAACTCGTGAATTTGGTTCTTTAAAGAAGTAACTTGTACTTAAACAGGAGCAAAATCTCAATTAAAGACCTTGTAATCCTTAGTAACAAAGGTTGGATTTCGTCACTGTTTAGCAAAGACAGGAATGCACATTTTCCTGCCAAACCATAGGGAAATTCATTAATGGGAACGAAAGCTACAGGATAAAAAAGGAACGAAAGAAAGGTTTGTAAGCAAAAGCTTGAGGCTGTAATCTGCTCAGGACATTGGACTTTCTGAGCTGCAGCTTTAATGGCGTTTGGATTTTTCTGCAGAAAACGAAAAAGATAGAGATTGAATACAAAAGTTAAAAAAAAAAACTAATATGATTAAAATTTTAAAAGTTTAATTATAAAATGCAATTGTAATTCAATAAACCTTTGATGCATTAAAAAAAATCAAAATAGATAAAATCATCCTTTATATTTTTGATAAATTTTTTTAAAGGAAATAAGCAAATTTTGGCCAAAAGAAAATAAAAATTGAAATCTTTTTTAGCTTTTAAAAATAATAATAATTCCTGTCATACATATATTTTTAAAAAATATATATGATATATCAATGAAACGTTACTAATATTTGTTGATAAAAAATATTAAATATTTTAAAAAATAAAAAATAAGAAATAAATGCAATCATTCTTTATTTTATTTTTTATTTTAAATTACGATATTTTTATATAAAAATGTACTAATCGAAACCTTTTTTTTAAATCAAAATTTTGCCAAAAGAAAGAAAAAATGGTACGAATAGAATGTATGGCTGTGGTTACAGAGCAGTCCCAGTAGCTTGGACTGTGATTCAAACTTCCAAGCTTGAAAAATTCCGTGAGAAATCAGGCAAGCTTTTGCTTTACTGTGCAGCTATAAATATACCAAGCTGGAGCCAGACTCTGGCCTTAGCATAATAGTAATTCAAGTCTCTTACTTTGAAACCCAACCACCACAAAAAACTTTGTTCTTTTTATCTTTTCCTCTCCAAAAATATGGGTTTCTCACTTGCTTTGCCTCCCATTTTTAAAATTGAACCCAACATTTCTTCATTGTTGAAATAGTAATTTCCTTTATCTCTGTTCTAAACCAAGAATCACATCATACCTTTCTTGGAACCTTTCCTCTTTTAGTTTTTCAGGTTTCTCTCTCTGTCTTTTTTTTTAATCATAATTTCACTGTCATTTACCTTTTTATTTTGTTTTACAAGGAAAAGGGACAGTTTTTAGCGCCCTGTTTCCTTCCTCTGTTTTGAGTTAGAATACAACGAATCTAGAAAGAAATGCAAGAAATCAATCATCTTTTTGGATTCAACAACGGTGCCGATATTGGGTCTTCGATGTCACAGCTCATATTATCAGGAGGCTCAATTACCTTAGATGCAATCTTCTCTCGTTGCCCACCATCAACGGCCATCACCACCAACTCTGTTTATGAGCCATTAGGCTCTTCAGTCTATCTCCACCAGAGAGATCTTCTTCAAAAATTCTGCCAAGAAAACAAAGGAAACGCTTCATTTTCACGAAACTCGCTGACGAATCAGCTTCAAAACTGCCAAAATCCTTCGTCGACGAGAAACTACTTGACCTTGAGTCCTCAAAAGAAGAAGCTATACAGGGGCGTGAGGGAGAGACAGTGGGGCAAATGGGTAGCGGAAATCAGACTCCCACAAAACAGAATGCGAGTCTGGTTAGGCACTTACGAAACAGCTGAAGCTGCAGCTTATGCCTATGATCGTGCTGCGTATAAGCTTAGAGGGCAGTATGCAAGGTTGAATTTCCCAAATCTGAAGGATCCCAGTAAGTTGGGGTTTGTAGATTGTGCTAGGTTGAATGCTGTGAAGAACACGGTGGATGCTAAGATTCAAGCCGTTTGTCAAAAGGTAAAAAGAGAGAGAGCTGAAAAGAATGCCAAGAAGGGCAACTCTGATCGTCCTGCTGCTTCTCCTGAAGCTGAAAAAGAAGTGGAAGTAACAGAATCATGTTCATCGTCTTCATCGTTATCGCCTGCGGTTTTTAGTGACAATTTAAGCAATGAATTGCTGTCACCAACCGTGTCTGAAGATGGGTTTTGGAGAAGTGAAAACTCACCATCCTCTGTTTCGAATGATTATCCAATGATGATGGCAGAGGAACCACCATTTGAGGACAGTTCGCTTGCAAGAATGCCATCTTTTGATGCTGAATTGTTATGGGAAATTCTAGCTAATTAGGATAACAATTCTCGTTCATTTTTCACAAAATGAAAATTTCCAGCAGATGGCTGTTTAGAAAAAAAGAAAAGACCAGAGAGAGATCTTTCCTCTCTTTTTAGTTAAAAGTGCAAACGGTAGTTTCTTTTGAGGTTCTACTTCTTAGCAAAGGTGTCCTGTTTTTTAATGTTGTCTGGTTTAGGTTTTTATTGGTATTTTTTGAGGTATTCTCAGCTTTAAATCAAGCAGGTGAATTTGATTAAGTAAAAGCCTCCATTTGGTTCGGTCCAAATCATAGAGGAGAAAGAAAAAACAAAAACAATACATGTTCTTTCCATGTTGCAGTGCTATAAATAACACAAGTTATAGGACTTCAGATCACTCCTTACTCTCGTAGCTTATCTGCCATGCTCTTCTTCAATGGTGAGAAAGCCATGGGAAAAAATATTGTGGTCCTCGTCCGCTTCTATCTACAATTCTACATATATAAATAAAATATCGAAAGATGACTGTGTACGGATTAGCACGGCTTTATTAAACCTGTCAAGATTTCAATTAGCAGGACGATGTATGACGTTTATCAAACCACTTCTGCAGTTAGATTTTCAGGGACTCTGATAAATGAATAAATTCTGGTCAGTTTAGAAGCACTTTCAATCAAATATGACTTCTGACAATGATTAAATATTTTAATGGATCATGTTTTAGAATATCAGAGAAATCAGAAGCCAACACTAAAGCATACAAACAACCAAATATAAATTCATATACTCTCCGGACAAGATAAAATAATTGGAATAATTTATATTTACGATCGTAGTTAAGTTGCAGTCCTAGCCGGGGATAGTTCCCAAGAATATAACTTCATATCAAGGACAAGGCCATCAGAAAATATTAGTCATCAACAATGTATATTGTACATCGCAATCAAAAGATAGACCAGATCTTTCCATGATATCGTTTAGAAAACACTACCAGCTGAGAGCATTCTTGGACTGCTGCAGCTTTGCATTGTGAGAACTTTCTATCTCCTCCTTGCAAGATTTTAGCAGAGGCAGTAAAAACGATGATCTGAAAAATGTGACGGACTCTCCAAGTGAGGTTCTATCCCATTCTGCCATCAACCGAAGACAATAGTATCAGAAATACAGAAATACCAATTGCAGGTAGCATAATAGCTTTAATAGGCCAAGTCATGTGCAAGAAAGATGACACTACAGCAGCACATCGTAATACAAAATTGACCAATCACGTAATTAGGTGACTTTATTTGACTATCAAATATTTTAATCCCTGACAAGATCAACCCTGAATGAAAGATGTATCCTTGTATGTCAAAGGGATAACAGAAAATTAGAACATGTTTATACAAGTTCAATTTCCCGAGAAACTCAGTAACTTTCCGTGGTCTTTTAGTTTGTTCCTCAAGATCCTAACAATCTTCTAGTATTTGCAACTGACGAACTAAAATTCTCGGACACTGTACCTAATAATCAGAAGAATAAAAAACTTTGCACAAAATAAATTTACCACTCTCAGCATCTTGTCTTAGTCCTCCCTTGTTTAGTTCTTCCAAAAGCTGCAGGATAAACAAAATCACAAGAATTATAGGCAGACCCTTCTACAAAGGGGCAACAGCTCATGCAATGCAGTGCATCAAGAAGAACTACCTAGCTAGAATTCATAATTTACAAAGTTGAAATACAATGTAATTCTTATTCTTGCTTAAAGTCCTCAAAAACTATTAAAATTGGAATTGAACATCTTGACAAGAAAAATCTCATAGAAAAATAAGAAAACTGAAAATTGCTAGCATACATACCTGAGATAGGGTGGGAACTGTAGTTGGATCAAATTCATCACAATTATTTGGGTCAATCGGAACACAAACACGACCTAGAGGACAAGTAAAATGTTAAAAACACTTGAGACTACTAAAATTCATTTTAGGGGGCGATAAAATGAAGTTTCTTCCCTCCTACATTTTTGTTTGGAGGATATGAAGATGAGGATAGTCCCTATCATGAGGTGTTAGATGTATGTATGTCAAGACCCAAATAGCAATTATGTTAAGGAAAGAAATTCAATAACAGCACATATTCAAGGTTTCATAACATAAACACAACTATTGATAACACTATTGGTTTTGGAAGCTGCCACCGTTAGTGCTTTAGCCTTTAGGTTTAAATGTCTTAGTTCTTAAAACAAAATTAACAACACACTTTTAGGCACCACACCAATGATTTCTGGTCAATCTTCACATTCATAACAACTGATATCCAAACAGACATTCCAAAACTAACCTGTTTTTGGATGTACACAGAATGGTGCCTTCAATAAATGGTTCATGTGCTTCGAAACCTGATATACAAACAAGTAGTAGCGTGTGAAGGGTTACGCATAGATATATTTACATATCAGAGATTCTTGATTCTTGCTTTCATAAAAGTAATTTATATACACTGGTGTATGAACCGGAGGTGGATGTACGTCTAAAATCATTACCATATTTGCTGTAAGTGAAAGGAAAAAATGAACCTTAAAGCAAAACCAAAAACAAGCAAAAGTGTTGTAGACCTCCATATCAAGCCTAGGATACGTGAAGGAAAAGACGATCTCTTCAACACATCTGCGTAGTCCTTGTGACTGGAAAAGGTGAATCATGCAAAGTAATTAAAAGAATGAATAATACAGTACAATGTACATGAGAAAAATTCTCCAGGTAAAACAGAGCACATCTGGGTCAAACATATATTTGATAAATGAGTGTCTAATGAGGTAGAAGTTGTCCAAGAAAACAATCAAACTGTACTTGAATTTTGAGAGCAAGGACTAATAACTTGATCCAACTCATTATTTATTGCTGATTTTTCTCAGAAATGCACTTTGATTGTGGAGAAGAAAATGAAAATGTTGAGGGAGGGAGAATCCAACCTGTGACACATGTAAAACTGATTGCAAGTCAGGCCAGAGTAGTGGACTCACTCCCTTTATTATAAACGCTTTAACATTTCATGGAGCTCTCACTCCATTATCTGTTTATGGAGCTTTAATATCCATCTAAGTCCCAAAATTCTATGATCTGTTTTTAGGCCCTAATCAATTTATGACAGTAATACATCTTTTACACATCGCAAACTTATTCTAAAATTATATTTTAGCATCACCATAGAGTATCTAAAAACAAATTCAAATTATGACTGACAAAGTGCATTAACTGTTCAATATCTCTGGCACCTATTCAAACAGAGTGGCCTATGCCATTGTTCATCCCAAACATTCCAAACAAAGTTTTCCACTGCCCATAATGTATTTAATCCCTAAGGATTTTGAGCATACCAATTCATACCTTTTGTTTTCCTGATTGTAGGATATGTTTGAGTTGCTCCCATCTAGCAATATTAATGTCTTCTTTTGACATGGAAAGTCGCTTATTCTCCTGCCACCTCCCCCGAAGCTCAGAAGCAACAGCTGCAAAGATAGCATGTACATACATGAGCAACTGCTAAGGTAAATGACAGAGCTATCCAGTATCCATCGAAGAGAATAAATTTTACATGCATCAGCAATCATTTCTAGGATCTTCTCATATCTCTCCTCAGATGCGAGTAAATTTTGCTTTGAAAGCAGTTTTGCCTCAAAAAAGCCCTTCAGAACTTCAGTATAGGATCTCCTGGAAAGTCAGAATATGTCTTAGTGAAGGGGAAGGTAGGTCCACGATAAGTAACTAAAAGACGATATACAGTAACACTTACGCCAGGAAAGGGTGTAGAACAGGACCTGGTAAAGATATCTTTTTGTTACTATTTTCATTGCCCTGCACAAAGTACAAGTCAATGTTTTCTTGGTATTAAAAAATTAAGCATAACCCAGTTGTATTTCAGAGCACTAGTTAAACACCTTGTATACACGGAAATAATCAGCAATAGATGCCCTCTGTTCATTAGTCAACCTGCAGAAGTGATAACAGTAAAATTCAGATCTTCATGTAATAATACAGTAAAGGAAATACCAGAAATTATGTGACGACTTCAACTATTTACTGTATTACCTTCTAGCTTTTCCATCACAAACCCAGCAGTGCACACCACGTCGACCACTATATACCCAGAGAATGTGATTAAAGCCAAAGTCATCTGCAATATTAGAAGTTAATTGATGATGTAATAAGAAGAAGACATTATACATGTCGCACTCAAGAAAAAAAATGTGCCTACATTGTAATGCAAACAATGTTAAGTAGGACAGCTAAGGACTCAAATTTCCTATTACAATAGTCGGGGATCTAGGCCAGCTAAGAACTCAATGCGTGATTAACAAACTAATGTAGAGTATTTTACCTCTGAGAGCTGTATCAATCACTTTAATTGCAACTGTCATTAGAGGCCAGCATTCCAAGCAAACATCAGCTCCTGTGCAGCAATATCTAACATCGTCATAATCTGTTATATCCTGGTGCGAGAAAAAGCGCAACTCCAACAAATCAAACAACATAGCCATTACAGACTTGTACCCAGTATGAAAAGTAGACTAAGATGCTCAATTTTCTATTAGCCCAGTTGCTTACAATATCAAAAACCAGTTCCCTTTCAACTGGAGTGAAAACATTGTGGCCACTTTGTGCATAGGCATGCCTCTTAGCAGGCTGCATTGCAAAAAAATACATCAATAACAACTAATAAAACAGGTAACATTTATACTTCAACAGAAAACTCAAGAAGAAATATCATCAGTTTCAACTCATATCTCATCAAAAGTTGATTCAAAGACTGCATAATAAGAAGAAAATTGCACGAAATCTTACATCAACACTGTAGACAGGCCCAATATCTATCTTGAATGGACACTTTTCTTTGATGGAATTTTCAAGTTCAGAAACACTGTTGAAAGACTGGAATCGAATATAAATGTCATTTTCTAGCGTGAAAGAAAATTCCCTTCTTCCGAAGTAGGACTTGTCACAAGCAGGATGCTTGCCATCTGCAGGTAGAGCAATTACCATAAACATGGACACATAGAACAACATGAACGCATAGAAACAAGCGCGCGTGCATACACACGATAAGGAAGAATTGATTTGGATTACCATTTCCGTAAGACATCCACTTAAAGATATCGGCATGAGGAAATAACTTTCCTGACACAAAATTAGTTTCCAATTTCAATAACAAAAAATCCACGATTCAAACGATAAGTTTCTTAAAAAAAAAAAACTTTATATGAAAAAACGAAAACTCTTACCATAGTAGATTCTGAGATAGGTAGCGTTGAATCCATCGGGAACGGTGTTTGCTTGCTCAGGTCCATCAATCAACATTTCATCTCTTCCGTTCTCAGCTTCCTCTTTCGTCATCTCTGCTTCAAAATCTTTCTCTCTATCAATGGAAACCCTTATTTCCATTTAATAGCTTAAGATCGGAGAGAGGGGATGGAAAGAGACGAGGATGGCGGGAAAGAAAAGGGGTTAGGGCCAACGGGTAGATCATCAGGAGGGAAAATGTGGGGCCTGATGACATTGGCCCATTAAACATAATTCAGCCCAAGCAGAAGCCTTGTTTTGTGAACGGAGCCGTTTTGACTTTCGCTACGTTCGTCCAAGATCCTATGAGCTATAAAAATTCAGCCTGGGCAACCAAAATTCCTGTCGCTAATCACCAATGTAAAGTGCGAATAAAACAATAATACCCAAATTTCTTTATTTCTTTATTCTTTAATTTCTTTTTAATTAATAATTTATAAATTCCAGGCGATGAGATGAGAAAGCAGTCTGGACCTTTCGCTATAGGACCTGGCCGATGGCGTTTTGTTTCGGACCTATCTAGGACTCCCCGATAACTGCACCCGGATCCGCTAATACCTCCATCGGCTTTTTGACCGGTTTTCCCACTTCTTACCCGGCCTAGGGTTTTTGCTAGGGTTACCTCGATGGTGACCAATGATTATACCACCATGAACGGGAACGGGATTATTAAGATGGAAGAAGAGTTCATCAAGAGGCACCACAAACATGACGTCAAGGAAAATCAGTGCAGCTCATCGCTCGTTAAACACATCAAAGCTCCTGTTCATCTCGTAATTTTTTTCTTTTTGTTTTAAAATTTCAAAAAGATTTACTTTCTTTTAATAGAATCGATTGGGTTCCTATTTGGTGTTAGATCCGTTCATATCTGGGAGGCTTTTTGTTTATTTTAGTATTTTTTTTTTCCTTTTAGACGCCTATTTTATGTAGCGTAGCTTGATTTTCCGGTTACTTTCTATTTTTAGAAAAAAAGTCCCTTTCTTTTGTTACTTTTCGTTGCATGTGAAGTGAATATATGAGGAGATCAAAATTAAAGTGGCGATTGATTAGAATTGTGAAGTTATCACTGAAATTTTAAGCTAGATTATTGGCTCGTTTGAAATGTTATCTGATGTTAAACATTCTGTGAATCAATTGAAGTTATTGGTAATCAATGTTAGAGCATCCAGTGACGACCTTCAGTAATTTGTAGCGTTTAATATTAAGAGGGTGCAATATAATACATCGACAACTTTTGATTGATGATTGATTAGTAAAAATTTCCTGGCAAAGTTTTTGTTGTCTTGGGTGATTGCTCGGTATTTGCTTTGTTTGATAGAAATGGACCTTAACATTTTCTTTAAACTTGCATGTTGCTGCAGTGAGGAAAGGTTAGCCACGGGTACTTATGTCCCAACTTCAAATACCGAAATACCTCTCATCGAATGAGATTAACCTGATTTCACATACCCAATCTAAAAGTTGTGTAGTTACAAATAAAATTACTTTGAAGTGTTTCAGGTTTTAGTTTGTTTGACTGAAGGCTAACTTGGCAGTGTTTTCTGCCTTAATGAGTGATTGTTAGTTTTTGATCAATCAGGTTTGGTCTTTGGTGAGGAGATTCGATCAACCTCAGAAGTACAAACCATTTGTTAGCAGGTGTGTCGTGCAGGGTGACCTTCAGATTGGAAGCGTTAGAGAAGTCAATGTTAGGTCAGGTTTGCCAGCCACCACTAGCACTGAAAGGTTAGAGTATCTAGATGACGATGAACATATTTTGAGCATGACGATTGTTGGTGGAGATCACAGGTTGAAGGTATGAATTTTCTACTTGATTGAATTAGTTACACACCAATCATGTAACTATAAATGCATGCCCGTCGAGTTCCAATAAGTTTTAAGTTTTTGTACATGTAATCCTGACTAAAACATAAGAATTCATCTCAAAGTAATTGTTTTTTTGCCTCTTATTAAAGGATATTTTTCTTTCAGATCATGTAATGCATAAATTGCCTGAAAATGTAATAAGGTTTTGAATATGATCGCTTGAAACTTGCAAGTGGAGGACTGAATATGCCAACTTTTGTTACCGGTCATTTGGAGTTGAGTATGAATTGTCAAAATCATTGTTTAAATTGTCGAATCTATTAAGATTTTTAGAAGATTTTTTCGTGTTTGAGATGGAGCATATCTTTATGATTGCACTCTGTATGGAGCAATTTATATGCCTTATGTGGCCTTTTCCTCTATCCAAATTATTCATGTTTTCTTGTGCTACTAGACATTTGACCTGGAACCCATCATGTTGCAAATGGCTATGACTTTGTGGTTTGTATGATTGTAAGTGATCTGTTATAATAGAATATTTTTAGTTAATACACATGGGCAAGCAATGTTGTTTATCATGTTTTTGAAGATGTGTTAGTTTTCAGTTCTGAGATGCATTATCCTGCCTCCATTTCTTTTTATATTTAAATTTATGTAAATGCTATTGTACCCATTCTGGATTGACCTCTCATTTGGGGGTTGAATTTTGATTTTTATAATATGTCCTGTACTTTCGTGGCGATCTAATTGGCTGAAATTGCAAAATTGTGCTTTTGCTTTGCAAATTTGCAGAACTACTCTTCCATTGTTACAGTCCATCCCGAGGTCATTGATGGCAGACCAGGAACGTTGGTGATTGAGTCATTTGTGGTGGATGTACCAGATGGGAACACCAAGGATGAAACATGCTACTTTGTTGAGGCACTGATCAAGTGCAACCTCAAGTCATTGGCTGATGTTTCAGAGCGTTTGGCTGTTCAGGATAGGACTGAGCCGATTGAAAGAATGTGAATAATCTGGGTCCCTGTTAACTGCATCAAGGTTCTTGTTCTGGGTGATAAGTGAGTTACTCTTGTTATTAGAAACTGAGTGGACGGTTTGGGCTTCCTACAGGCAGAATCGACTTCCTTTTTCTTATACTTTATGTTCTTCTTCATTTTACTATAACTAGATCTTTAGGTATCTTGTGTTGATAGTAGCTGACAATTAAGTTGATCATCGGCCTACAGATTTCCTAGATGGAGAAACATAAAAAAATTCTTTGTGGTTTTTCTATGTTGAATAATGGGGTGTTGTATTGGTATTTGGTTGTAAATAACTGCGCACTATCAAAATTTTATGTTAATATCTTAGGTTTTGCATGTTCCTGTTAGAAAAGCCATTCAGTGTTTGGTAAATATATGGAATGTTGGTATTGGTACATGATGTGAATTTACTCATCCAGCAAGTAATTTGTATTGTAATTTGAAGAGGGGTTGAAGAAATATCTAGATTAGGGCCTTTCAAGCACTTCCCCATTGCCAAAACTCCAGATTTGGATCCTATCCTGTTTAATGGAAAAGAGGTTTTCAACAAGATTTTTTTTTTTAATGAAATGAAACTAAAGTTATGGAGTTCAAGGAAAAAGTCCCATGATGAGTGTTGTGCATCATGTCGGGTTTCAAGCTTTTGGATTGTCGCATTCAGTTCTAGGCAGGTTCAGTCAAATGCAATGAACGCTCCATTTTCAGGGACTGTCATTCAATAAAGGACGTATGGCGTGTATTTCATGTGAACTTAGTTATCCTTTTTCTATTACTCCGTTCCTGTAAAAACCAGAAAAAAAAAAAAAGATCATATTGCTGTATCTGTTAAGATTTCTTTGGTGTACAAATCGATTTCTTTCTTTGTTTCCAGGTTAGATTCATGGCAAGACGGTGGTGCTCTAGACTAATCCAATTTTCATCAGTCCATAAGCAAAGGAAGATAAGTAAGCATTTGCACCGTTTATGCGTAGAAAACGTAGTGTAATTTTCAATCATTTAGGAGGCGAAAATACTATTGTACCATTTGGGCCATTATTAAAAGTCAAAAAGAAAATCATGTAATAAATATTTTCAGGTAGGGGATTTCAACAGAAAGAACGGAAATGTAAATAAAATAATAAAAGCTTCAGTCTTTAATCAATGGACCATGCATTACTTCTGAACTCCACCTTCCATTTCGTGTTAATTACAGCAAGCTTGGAATCTATGAACACATTGTCCATAGTCTCTACTCTTTGTTCTTCGCTTTCCTTTTCCTGATTAAAATAACCATAATCCTTTGGAGCCTTCTCCTTGTATGAATCTCCAGGTCTACTCCTAATTCATTCAACACAATAAAAGCCCATTTTGTTCCTTTGCTCTCTGTCGCTTTGCAAATAATAAACTGCCTTTTTATTTTTTTTTTCTCAAACAGAATGTTTCGAGCATTGGCTTCGATTTTGCTTTGTTGCTTCTTCCTTCAAACCTTTTTTTGGTTTTACATTTCTAATGGGAATTTGATAACTTGTTCGGGGATAGTACCGATGAGGTTCAGAAACGATAAAATATCGATAACGGACTTTGGTGGGGTTGGGGACGGGAAGACGCTCAATACGAAGGCTTTCCGGGAAGCTATATATCGGATTCAGCATCTGGGAAGGAGAGGTGGTACGCTGCTTTATGTGCCTCCTGGGGTGTACTTAACCGACAGCTTTAACCTTACGAGCCATTTGACTCTGTATTTGGCTAGAGGTGCTGTTATCAAAGCCACTCAGGTAACTCAATTCTTTTCACTTCTTACTCTATTCCCTTTGTAATTCTTCTCGTCAGTGGCAGTGTCCTATGGTAAATGAATACACAATCAAAAGTAACTAATTTTTCCTTTTGACATTGTAAAACACTGCGGTCTCGAACTATCTTTTTCGTTTTCCCATCACATCATTAGTATCTTTTTCGTTTTCCCATCACATCATTACATGACAAAAACTAGTGTTTTTTTTACTCAAAATATGGGTAATACTTATGATAGAAAATGGAATCGAGTTAAACAAAAGTACTATTCCACTATCTTCTAAAATGGTAATGAAAGCTGGAATCTGGGTTTTAATTTCCTATAATTCATGATATAATTGCAAGGATGGTTCTTTTTAAGAATGCTGTTTTGCTTTTGTTTTTGTTGAAAGATTTGGATTTTGGTTGCATATAGTCACAAGTGATTATTGTAATTTGTACGATATGGTTGAATGTCAATTTTAATATGACATCGTTTGGCTCCGCCAGTGTGGTGGTGTAGAAAGTTTGGGGTGAAGATGTCTCTCCCTATGAACCATGGGGTCCAGGCAGCGTTATAAAGAGAAGAGAAAAACGTTGTGGGTCTCCGTAGTATAGTCCCATGTGCATGACATTTATGAGGTTTTTCAAGTCAACAATTTGGACAAGACAGATAGCTGGCAAGCATTGTTGTCCAACTTGGTGCTATATCTAGATTAACGCAATGCTGTCCTGTTACAGTGTTGGAGTTATTAATTAAATACATAATCTGAATGCATGATGTTGCAATAACTATTAGTAATTTAAATACTGTTGGAAGTTAATAAAGTGGTTATTATCATACTTACTGGTTTTTGACTGTTATCTTCTGATCAGTAGAGAACCATGTTTCCTGTTTAGTTGTTTGAAATCCTTTTCTACTTCAAGTCGACTGAATGTAATTATCATGTACTTCTACTTGAGTTATATCTTACTGAAAACCAGTAGTGATAGATAAATTTTACTCAATGTTTGGATCATCCTCCACTAGATGTTCTTCAGTTGACGCAATTGAACTTGATTTTCTAAAGACTACATTGTTCTATGATTAACTTGTGCCCTAGTTTATGGGCGAAAAGATTGTTATTGTGACTGGTTCTGCTTGACTTTTGGTAAATCACCATTTGCTTTTCACAAAAAAATGAAAAAAGAAATAAAGATCAATGTCTTATTTGTTTGAGATTTGTGAAGCTAACCATTTAGGAATAAAGAATTAAGCTTTTAGTAATTTAATTGAGTTAAGCATATATAACCCATGTCTAGTTTTTAATTCCCTTATCATATGTGAACGTTCTGTATCTTTTGAAATAACATAATTTTATTTCTTATTGACTCCCTTGGTTGTGAAGGTGTTATAGATAAAATATTCTAGGTTTCTGGCATTTGTTTATGTCTGTTTGAAGCCCTATTGAAGCATTTCTCCAAATTTATTAGTTTCCCCAATCTAGCGAAATCTGTTATTGCACACCTACTCTCTTAATATGATGTGATTTGTTGGACACACCTCTTATAATGTTCTTCCTGGATTATCTCAGGACACTTGGAATTGGCCTTTAATTTCTCCCTTGCCATCTTATGGAAGAGGAAGGGAGCGCCCAGGAGGAAGATATATGAGCTTTATTCATGGAGATGGTCTCCAAGATGTGGTGATCACTGGTAGGTCTGGATAGCATTGTGGTTAATTACTCTGATAGCTTGCATATATTTGTTTTATCTACCATTAATCGTCTTTAATCACTTAAACCTAATGAACCTACTAGTTGACATAACATGCAATATGCTAGAAAAGCCTAATTTAAACTGTCAAACGAGAATGGCATGATTGATTGTCATGGATCTTTATGTTATTGTTATCTTATTAGGGTGAATGGCAGTTAATTCAGACTTTTATAATTGTGCTGAACAATAATAGCACTTACCTCTAAGATGTCTGTTTTATTGACATGATTTATGTAATTTCAACTTGAATCACCATGTTTTCATTTATTTTCAACCATAACAGGTGAGAATGGCACAATTGATGGTCAAGGAGCTATCTGGTGGAACATGTGGAGGCAGGGGACACTACAGTTTACAAGACCAAATCTCGTTGAGTTTGTGAATTCCAGAGACATTATTATTTCCAATGTGATTTTTCAAAATTCCCCCTTCTGGAACATTCACCCTGTTTATTGCAGGTAATTTTTATATCTGAAGTTTTACTTTCCTAATCGTGTAATATACAAAAGCCATGCAATTATTTGAGAGCAGAATCTGTTATTTGACCATGCTGTAGGTTGGTATCACTGTAGAATGCTTAATTCAGTGAGGGCCTTCTTTACAATTTGGTCATATAGTATTATAAGTTTATAATCCTTCATTAATTAAATCAATTTTGAAGTCTGCAAGAAATTCACATATTTGTCCAATGAAAATCAAAAGAATTCTAACTTGAATCTTTATCATCTTTAAACCATTTTGTTATTTCCCACTTTCTTTACGGTGATTCCGAGTTTGGACCTTGTCACATTTAGCAACAAAGGGACTGTATGGAAGCAGGTAGAGCCCGATGGAGGGTGCTCCAAAAGTGTTTCTGTAGCACAGTTTGCACCAGAGTTGATGAGTTTATAATGGATTTGCTATTATAACCACTTGAGTTTGTTGTAACTCTGTTGGACATTCTTGTATTTTAGTACCATGTAAGAATTGCATGTTTAAAATCATAACTTAATGTACTTTTTTTTTTTACAGCGATGTTGTTATTCAATACGTTACCATCCTAGCTCCATCTGACTCACCAAATACTGATGGGATCGATCCAGGTAACAAAATGAAAGCAATTTTATTTGTTGATTGGATTCATCTTGCTTAGGGTTTCATTTACACACACAAAAATGCACTCAATTAGGCTTGACTATGTAGGAGTGCATGTCATCTTGTAAAACTCAAACACAAGTAAATGCTGCTTGGTTCCAATGAATGTCTTAAAACTCTGACTTCACACAAATGCGATAGAAGAAACTGAACAAAGGAATTGTTGTTCCTTGATTAGGTGTAGATTTAAAATCTGGATGAAATCTAGTCGGGTGCCTTCATCTTATTCTCCCTGCCCAGGGTACATCAAGAAAGCTATTGAATATGCTTGCATCTAAAACTTCTTGAAAAATGGCTATGCTCATTAATTGGTTCCTGTGATGTAATAAAGTGGGCTGTGTTAAATGAATGTTATTGTTTTCCCTCTTTATGAGTTAGGATGGAGAGCAGTTTATCCCACGTTCTTTTGATTTTTTCGAAACAGATAAATCTCTAGGAATCATTAACTTCTTTTACTTTCTCGATTCATTGATACAGATTCAAGCTCCAATGTATGCATAGAAGACTCATTCATTTCTACCGGAGATGATCTCGTGGCTGTGAAGAGTGGATGGGATGAATATGGCATCGCTTATGGACGCCCTAGCTCTTACATCACTATTCGGCGAGTAACAGGGACATCCCCATTTGCTGGAATTGCAGTGGGAAGTGAAACCTCTGGTGGAGTGGAGAATGTCTTGGCTGAGAACATAGTTCTTTACAACACTGGAACTGGTTTTAACATGAAGACTAACATTGGCAGGGGAGGGTTTATAAAGAACATCACGGTGTCTGAAGTGTTCATGGAAAACGTGAGAACAGGTATAAAAATAGCAGGTGACACCGGTGACCACCCTGATAACAATTTTAACCCAAACGCTCTTCCATATGTCAAGGGCATTACATTAAAGAACATTTGGGGCGTGAAAGTCCAGCGAGCAGGTTTGATACAAGGCCTCAAGAACGCCCCTTTCACCGACATCTGTCTTTCAAAGGTTAACCTCCACGGCATTACTGGACCAAGATCTCCTCCATGGAAGTGCTCTGACGTAAGTGGGGCTGCAATCGAGGTAAGCCCTTGGCCATGCACCGAACTTACCAGCCCACAACAGAGTGGTTCATGCGACAGCCAATTCTAAGATTCATTCATGTATAAATATAGTTATCTACTCTGTTTTCAACCCTTAAATAACAATATTTCTGAGCCTCTATGAGTCTTTAATTTTCACATCAAACAGTTCATTTCCTTTTAACCCAAATATGTCCTCCATTTACCCTCAGCACACAGGTGGCATTAAATTAACAACCCAATCACCCAAATTCTGCAACCAAAATGAATGAATTTGGGAGAGCGTTAATTTATTTGGGAGGTCCTTAATGTCCAGCAAGCCTGACGGCTCGTTGTGTTCGCCGGGATTTACTTTTGGGCCTAAGTGTCAGAGACCAGATATTGATTGAATGATCAGACCAGGTACCCTTGAATCTAACTTCACTCACTAGACGTTAATACAATTACAAAACAAAAGAAAGCTAAGGCTGTTTCGAAGCATGCGTCAGCCAACCACAATCACAGAATTTTCTTGGTTTACACAAACCCTAGAAAACGCCAAACCAAAGTATCCTGGATTCGATGTTTTTCATGAAAGGAAAAGACTTCCATAAATAAAACTAGATTTTAACCCGCGCTATGTCGCGGAAGTTCTTTAAAAATGTATGAAAAATATATTTTATCATGAATCTAATATTATTAAAGGAAGTGAATGTAAAAAAAAATAATTTAGTAATTCATTATACAATCACAATTTATCGTTAATTCATAGATTTATATATTTAATTCTAAATGCATAAAAAGCAAATGTCCTCACAATCTAAAGAAAAAAAGTTTCATAAAAATATCAATTAATTAAAAGAATTTCGTATAATAAACATCTTATCTTCTTTTACAAAGTTTGACACCAAAAACTTCATTACTGATTTTGATTTGAGAACTCCCAATCTTATATCAGAATGTAATGTGGCCCAACCAAGTCCAGAAAAGAAAATAGAGAGGATAAAGAGAAACCAAATTCGAAAGAAAACAGGAAGAATAGAAAAGTAAAGATCGAACCTGCAAACAGAAGCTGAAAACCCAAAAAATATGCCCACCTGAGAAAAAATGAAAAAATGGAGAAAGATTTAGACTATAAATTACCCAAAGCTGCAAAAAGAAAATGAACTCGTCTTATCTTTATCAGAAACCACATTCTAGTCATAAACTTCTAAAAACACAATTAAGAAAGAAAAATCAAGAGCAAAAGTAAGCGAAATTATTTATCAATCTTGATAGCCTAATAATATCTAATAACACTATCTGGCATTAGACGTATTGTGCATTTCCCTTTTAATGACAATGGAGTCATCTAAAGGAAAGATAACCATCACTCTTTGATAGTTGATATACAAAAATAAAGTCAAGAAAAGGAAAATCCTTTTAAAATACAAACATTTTTTGCATCAAACATATCCCAAGGTTTAATACTTTTGATATTGAAATTAACTCGAAAGCATTCATAGTTGTTGATTGTTCTTCTTTCTTTTCTGTCACATGGTGCTCCTATTACAGAAAAAACAATGAAAGCTTAGTAAGAAAAAATGTTAAGAAGCACCAAATATAACAGCACTCATCCAATATACGGATGCAATTGTTCTATAACTTTGGGAAAGACCTCATTCACTACTGCAAAATCCTTAAAAATAGCTTCTACATTATCTAAGTTTGTATCATTTTTCTCTTCAAACACAGAAGGTTTGTAAACATTTTTAAACCACTCATCTTGCAAAATTTTAAGAATGGCAAAGCACTGCGACAAAAGAAAAAGATATGTACACATTAATATTGTGCAAGTTAATAAATTGTGAAGGCAAACAATTTCGTAACATTAGAGGCCAATATAAATATGCATGGCTAGATGTGTGCGAGCCCAACTTGCTACTCAAAGATTAAATAAGGGAGCAGTTATGCATAGTTGCTTCAACCATCAAGAATCAAGATGCTGCAGTAGTCTAAATGCCCTACATCAATCAAGGATCAAGATGCTGCAATATCTCTAATATCTCTAACTCAAGAATCCACTGTTTATGTGAGGTTCCATTGAATCTAAATGCCTATGACATATGAACCCATTTCCTGAAGCCACTGTGATGACTGATGAGATACACACGGCAGCATATTAACGAAAACTAAAGACATAAACTTAATCACTCCTGAATTTAATATTCCTTAAATCAAATATGGATAGAAGATGAAATAGTCAATATTGCAATATGTTTTCAAATAAAGAGATAGACATTTGTTATGGAGCAAATACCAATGTATATTCAACACAGAATTACTACTGTAATTTGTAGAAATCGCTCATAAATATGAGCAATAGCATCAATAAGAAGTAAAATCTCCTCCGTTTGTCATTTAAAATCCAAAGATATTCAACCAAAACAGTCAACAACAAAAGAATTGATGAATCTCATAATCATATGGAAAATAACTTGAACCACCAAAACTTAATTAAAACATCACCAGGGGAGCAGCTTTCTGAAAGACGTTTATCCCTCTTCTTAAAAAAAAAACCAATCAATTTAAATTTTTCATTAAAAATTTTATTGATTTATTTTTAATAAGTAACATCGAAATTCAGTAATGTAAGTTTTATCCTCCCATGAAAAGCCCACACGTTAAACAAATCTAAACCAGCCAAAAACTGGATCCAAAGTCCAAACTCCCCTCCTCCCAACCTGTTTCCTAGAACCTCCATTTCCCTTTACCCCAAACTCTTCATCTTTCACAGGAAAAGAATACGACAAGGGCCTTTACATAACCCAAAAAGAGTTTTAAAGACCCATGGTGAACACAGCAGGTCACGGTCCTTCTCTAGATATGATAGCATAGTAGGATTGATGGATGATCTACCGTTGATTTCCTGTGAAAATCATGGGCAATCGCTGTCCTTGAAGGAGATTTTGAGGACGTCCGTTGGTGTGATGGGACAGAACAATAGGGGATTGGCAGAAAAAGTGGTATAATCCAAGGTTAGATTGTGCTTTCTAAAGAGGTTTGGGAAGGTGATAGTAGGGAAGAGAGAGTTCGATAGGAGAGTTGAGAGGTTGGCTCAGGTTTGCAAGAAGTGCGAGTACCTCGTCCCAATTACTGGTTACTTGTATGCCAAGAGGATCAAGCTTGTTCTTTGCGACTACTACCCCATGGGAAGCTTAGCTGACTTGCTTGCAGATGAGTTTTTTGATTCATAGATTTTGAATATAGAAATTGCCTTTGATTTTGTTACCCTAATTATTAATTAATTATTAGTCGAATTCAGGGATTTAAACCAGATTGATGATTTTTTTTTTTTGTTTATTATAAACATTTATACATTGTTCCTTCTGATTAATCAAGGTGGGAGGCGCGGCCGAACTGCCTTAAGTTGGAATGAGCGGCTGATGATAACAGTTCACGTTGCACGAGCAATCGCTTTCATCCATGCACAATCCCCTCCAAGTGAAAAGAACATGAAAATGAACGTTCATGGAAACATAAAACCCTCCAACGTGATGATAAACATCGACCTGACGGCTCGATTATCAGATTATTGCTTCGTCCAGTTGGCTGCCTGCGCCGAATGTCCTGATAAAGATCGGCCAGGAACTGGTTACTGTGAGAATTTGAGTCAAAAGAGTGAAATATTCAATTTTGGGCCAGTTTTACTAGGTATGCTAGCGGGAGTGAGGGAGCCTGGTTATATAAAGTACATACTTGACACAATGGAAAGTATAAAACAGGGTACAAGCATATTTTTCGAGTTTCATGTGCAAGGGAAAGAACGGAAGCAAGCTTTGAAGGTTTTGGACATTGTTTTGGCTTGTACAAACAGGTTGCTAGAAGCCAGGCCTTCAATAGAGCAAATTTTGTTGAATCTGAGTGATATTGTCAATAGTACTAATAAATAAGCTGTTGGTCTGTGTTAAGACAATGATTGTATTCGTATCTGAGTGATATTCTCAACAGAACTTAATTTAAGTAGTTCAAGAAACCTATTTTAAGAGGTGACATTCCGGATTTGGTTTAAATCTAGTAATTTACGATGATATTCCGCTATAATCATGTTGGTTATTAACTTTTTTAAAACTAGAGTTAGGAACCCTAGGTGGGTGAAACTTCAACCTTCTTATGGATCATTGATCCTGAAACCTCGCTCCTTCTTTGGTTTGCTGAAGAACATACTTAGGCATTAATCAACAGGAGAAAAAGACAAATATTCCAAGGTATATTTATAGGGCTAATTCTATAAGTTAAGAGAATTTCCCTACGATTGACTGCAACTATATATAAGCTAACAAAATACTTGAAACACACACACACACACACACACACACACATATATATATATATATATGCCTCTCATTTATTTATTGATTATTCATTGCTTTATAGATTTAATTTGGGTTCCATATTTGAAATGTATAAGGTCTGTTGTGATGCTGGTGAATTTCAGTTATATACTACTGTTCATGTGTAAATGCCTACCCCATGTGGAGCTGAAAATGCATGCTACCAACCCAAACTTGACGAAAATTATAAAAAAAAAAAAAAAAAAAAGCTAAGAGTGGCAACGGGAAGCACAAAAACTGAGTTATACTTTGTTTTCATGAATTATGATCCTGAATACCAGCGTCTTCGAGCTGATCGGTCAGTTCTCTATGTCATTAGTAGATCATAATGCAAGACTCATCTCGATGCTATTTCTCATGCCATTGTCTTGTTCTCTCTCCTCTCTTTTTCTACCTTTTTTTTTTTTCCTTTCGGGTGTGTGTCTCATAGAACTGAGAAAGGGGCGTATAAGCTTGATTTATATCTGAGTAGGAAGCACGATGAGCTGTTGGCAAGAACCCTTAAGCTGGAAGCTATAAGAAGACCTTATCTTTGGTCATTGTTGATGGTTCTGCAGTCGAAATCACAGAAGCTCAGGTGATCTTTATAATGTCATCTGCAGTTTGTTTAGTATAATTGATTATCTCTCAAGTTAACTATATATGTTTCATTTTTTTTTCCTTTTGGGATTTTCTGTTTATGTAAAGTTGTTTAATGAAATCTGGCCAATGAGCTTAGATCTGCCAATGGGGTAAGAGTTGTGGAGAAGAATCAAGAGCTTGCTTAGTGCAGCAGCTAGCAATAGAATTAAATACAAAAAGCTTGAAGTTTGCGGAAGAGAAGAGGATAATAGGTTTGCTGAAGATTTGTACTTGTAGGTTTAAGTGGTCTCTGTTAGACAAAAGGTTGAAGTCTGACGATTTCTTGGGTGATCTAAGTCAGGAAATCTCTATTTTACTACCATCATATTGCCACTTTTTCTATTAGGTGATCTTGGAGATTAATTACTATTTTTCTATCTCTCAATTATCAGTCAGTTAAGACTTAACTCTTTTAAGAAAAGGAAAGAACTTGAAGTACTTAAAAATCACCAATCAGAAGTGATAAAATGACTGATAACAGTGAAATATGATCAAAGAATAAGATAATGCTTAGGCCTTAGAGATCACGATGAGATCAGCTAGCTAGGGGGAACAATGCATTGTGATCCAACAGCATGCCAAAGTCCATAAAAGCTCGTCCCCACTGAGTGGCATAACAACTCAAATGAAGATAGATTCCTTTCCTTTAATTTATGTTGGCTGGTGGGGGTGGGACAGGTGATTTGAAACAATTCATACGTGTCGTCTCCCACCACTTTATCCAGTTAAGTTTATAATGAAAGGAAGCAGGAAAACATACTTGAAACGGTTCTAATTATCAACAAAGTTTGAGAGAGTGCCTGACTTGTGGGTCATCCTCACATGCAACACGTTTCGGTAGCATTCACCACATCGTTATTTTGTCCCTTCTGATCAGTGACCCATGCCATTTCTGCTTAATTAAATAACTCAAATTCATTTTCTTAATGGAAACTTGACCGCGCCGGTAAAATCATAGATGCATGCCTTCAGGCTTCATGATCATTTCTAATTGTTACCAAAGAATTAACCTGTATGAAATGTTCGAGAGTACTGAAAGCAAGGTAAAAAAATGTGGAGCTATATATTAATGTACTTTTTTCAGCTGATAATCATTCAACTTAAATGCACCGGCCTAGTTCCACTACTCCAAGTCAAGTGGTTTAGATGCGATTTTCCCAGCAGGTGCATTTGTATTTGCCTAAAACAATTTTTCTTTTTCAGGATAACAAAAACAAAGATTAGTACATTAAGAAAATCAAAAGAATGGAAAATTTTGGTAAGAAGATGTACTTAACATCGTTGCAAGCGCCCAATGTAGTAAGTTAACAAACTACAAAAGGGACAAATCACAACTTTGAGAGAGCTGGGTTCCAAACTTCAAACTTCTGCTGACAATATTATTGTCTGCTTCTTCTGTTACCCGCTTCTACTACTTTTTCTTTTTTTTTATGTCAGTTTGATAATTACACAAAGAGACTAGAAACCAGAGTTTCTTTGGCCTTTAATCCGCGATAAGACAGGACAAAATGTTTAAAACGTGGAGCATATATTTTGGACCATCTGGTGGTGCTATGACCCCATCAACTGATCACTGGCATCCAATTTGCACCAATTATATTTCAATCCATATATGTCTGCTAACTAAAATTTTCCAACCGAGAGAAACGAAAAGGAATTAACCCTTGTCCTTATTCCTTGTTATGGTTCAAAATGAAAATTACTGCTAAAATATGTGGCCTACACTACAAAGAAAGATAACAGATTCTAAGAATCAAGATTGGTGATCGTTTACCTCATATAGATGCATGTGGCCTCCCAAAAATATGTACCCAGATCATAGAATGGTGAGCATTATCCACCCTCTCCCCAAGCGCTTCAGTTTAAGCCCTTACCTTAAACAGGCTAATTCAGAAGCCCTTGAGGGAGAGTGAGCAATGAATTCCATTGGAAATTCCCACGAGTACTGTTAATTAATTACTAGTATGGCCCACATGTACGTATATCATCATCAAGGCACGTTTTGGTCACTCTCCCCAAAGACTTCAAGCATTGCTGGGGTACCGTCCAGCTCCAGCATTACTGGAAGCCCTTGAGGGAGAGTGAGCAACCAATACCTTGTAAGATTCAACCCTTTTGTTTTTCTGATTGGTCTTGCTGGTTCACCCTGAAGAGGATTAGCTATAAGAAGACCATTTTATAGGACCTGAAAAAGTAATAGCGCATATCAAAATTGTGGTGAAAAAAATTTTTAGTTTATAATCTGATGGGCCCCTCCATATCTTGGCACTTGATATCTTGTGACTAAATTAGATCCTCTCAAATGACTTCCCAGTCAATGATCAGAAAAGCTCATGCGTTCGATGAGCTTGCCATTTCTAAAAGCAAATCACTAGAGAATCAATAGAGAATTTGTAGTTTTTTAGACTAAATGTGTCATGGACGTGCTGATAAACCGATGAATTTTGAATGATTTTAGGAGCTCATGTGAGCTTGAAACCATACAAGAATTACCCAAAAATGAGAATTGGTCCTTAAGAACGTTGACAAGGTAATGCAATATTTCTCTTTTAAGATAAAAGAATAATTAAAGCAGCTATTTAGGGGCTGAGGCATCTCATATCCTTATCTATTCATGAATGATTGTATCTTCAAGGTAAAGGCTAAGACAATTCCTCCATTATCCACCTTCCCATGTCCTTGCTTTTAATCTCTAAAAACAGTTGCATATCTTGCAAATTCGATAACAAGCCAGTCCCGAAACCTGTTGCTCTTAACTTTTTCTATAGCTATTGACACTTGTCATCAGAAATTGACATGAATAAACAATTCCATGACCATCCAGCTCCATGAATTTAGCTTCATATTATCACTATAAGGGTTCATTAAAAACAGGGTTGGATGTACATAGTAGCCAGAGGGGGCAACTTTATTAAAATAAAATCTCAAAAGTTTTGAAAATTTAAAATTCTACCCCTATAAAAATACTATTATCAAATTTGCCCCCACTAAATTAAAGTTCATACAAAAAAATATTTTATTATTTATCTAGCAATTGAACATTGATTCTTTGAGTGCTAAACAATTTCGTTATAATATATATTTATATATATAAGTTTGTAAAAATAAAATAAAAGTGAAATACTTTTAGAGAGTTTGTAATTATTAAATTTCAATTTCTTCTAATAATTTATTTAGATTGATGTGAGGTGATCTTATAAGGGTAACGAAACCTAGAGCTTGTGCTACTTATATCGTTTAAACAACTTATTTAACAAAAAAAAAAAAAAGTAACATATAAAATGTGAAGTAATAAAAATTTTAAAAATCATTTAGATTTAAATCTTCATTTTTTTTCATTGTATCTGAAAAAAGAGACATTTTTATTCTTCAAATTATAATGAATAAGAAATAAAATACATTTGCTTATTTGAATTAAATGATAAAACTAGACATATTAAAAGTGAATAATAAAACTAGATGTATTAATTTTTATATTATTCTTTCACATATTATATCTATTTTTAAGAATTTTATAAGTAAAATTTTACTAAATTAATATGTGTTTCTATATTGAAAATTGATTTATCTAAATAGTGTTTCGACTATATTTATTAAGAATCATATAATTAATTTTAATTATACAAAAATTATTTTTATGGTAAAAATTTTTTTTCGTGTACAGAATATATGTTATACATCTTGATTTTATTTATAATTTTTTATATTAATTTTTGTTTAATAAAAAAATTTTAAATTAATTTAAAATATTTACTTCCACTAGCCGTAATTTTTGAATCGGTCCTTGATTAAAAAAGCTAGCTGGGACTTTCTATACTCTTTATAGGATGTGCTATTTGCCCTCAAAATATGAAAACAAAGCAATTTAAAACTAATAAGTGATTAATTCAATTAGTTAAATTGTTATATTCGATAAAAAAGTTTTGAATTTAAGTTTTATCGATGGTCAGTTATTGAAATCATCTCGAATGTATGATTTATAGTCACTTATTTTAGATTGTTAAGTATGATATATTTTGCTTGAACTTATAAGACTAAACAATTTATCTATTCTTAAATTTTTTTTACCAAAAAAAAAAAAAAGCTTTTTAAAAAATGCTATGAGAAATCAAATTTGGTTGCAGTGGAATGCGTTGACTGCTCTCTATCGATCCACTAGTCCAATTGCCCCAAAGCAAATTGACTTGGTTAAGGATTTCAGTAAAACCAAAGTTGGCGTCGGCCCATTAGAAGCCCAAAGTTGCCTTTTTAATAAAATTAAATAATTAATTTTTAATTATTTATTAAAAACTATTATTTAAAATAAAATAATTAATATAATACTTTTAATTATTTATTAATTTTATAAATATTAAATAATTTAAATTTTTTTTTTATGTAATTTTTAATATAATATCTTTTAAAATTTCTATTGAAGAAAAACATAATGATGATGAAATCCCGTACAATAAATTGGCTTTTATTGAACCTTGTACACGCATAGACTTGGTCGGTGGTCCTGTTTGTTTGCGTGGGTGGCACTTTTTTTAGATTAACATCTTCTTTAACAAAAATACAAGAGATTGCTCGTAGAAGTCAGAATCTAGTTCACAATGAAGTTAATTTTTAATTATCTTTCATTATATTTACAAGAATTTTTAAATTCATTCAATCAATGACATTTGAAATTTATTTAATAACGATATTTTTAATATTTATATATTTAAATAAATTAATTATATCATACGATTATTCTTTTGATCGTGTTGCTCACACCAAAAAAAATTACTAGTCAAAGAACATAGAAATTTTACCAACCATGGTGAAAGTGAAATTCATAATCTTATGTGCTAGAAGATCAAGACATATACTAATTTGTTGAATGAGTAGCAAATATTTTGATGTATAATATAAGAGAAAAATATATCTCCTAAAAAATAATAATAATAAGAGAAGAAAGGGTTAATAGTTGTGGTCCAAGTCCACCATAAAAATAATCAAAGGATGTATGGTAAAGGATTTGGTTTGGTATACTAATCTAGTTGATTCAACAAACTGAACCTTTCAAATTCTAGTTGATATTTAAAACTCAAAAAGCAAAGTCAGATAATTTTTTATTATTAATTGTAAAATACATATATATATATTATATTTATATATACTACTCTGTTCTACCAAGGCAGGAAGTAATTAGTGAGGGTGCCAACTGCCAAAGGAAAAGAAAAGATTGGTCAAGGGAATACAAAGAGTCAATATATGAAGGTTTTGCCCATGGTTTTTGGTGGTTGTTTCTTTAAGCTGTAAAGGGTTTTTGGACTTTGTTCAGTTTTTTTTTTTTTTTTTAATTTAAAACAAGTAAGTTTGTCTGTCGAATGTTGTTTTTAAGAAGCAATTAATGTTTTTTTTAAGCTGCAATTTAGTTTATTTATCGAATCTAGTAAATTTATAAAATATTAGTTTCTCATTATTTAAAAAAAATTCGAATTTAAATA